ATGTCGAGTCTCCCCAGTCCCACCCCCCCAAACTTCCTTCTCCACACTGTGTCCCCCTGAGCCGCCAGTGTAGCATGCTCCTTGCCTGGGCAGCCAGGCCCTTGGAAGGCAGGGTGGGTGCAAGGGCAGCAGTGCCCACCAGAACTGGTGCTAGGGAGACTGGGTTGCTGCTTGGTGCTTGGGAAAATTGGGTGCAGTTTGAACCCCAACTCACCTGATTTTATCTCTTGGGCAGATTCATCATGGAGAAGCGAGGACTTCCCAAATGCCTTCCTTCATTGGCCCCTAATCAAGGTAGTCAAATGCCAGTCACTTTCTCTTTAATATTTTCCTGGTTTTTATTTTACTTTTGGTATTTACTTCTGTAATGTAGAAATTCCCATAAGGCATACTATGAAAACCAGCAGCCCCTGCTCCTTCTCAACTTCTCATACCTTAGAGACAACTATTTTCATCTGTTCAGTTTCTTTTAGCATTACCCTCTGTTCTCTAAATACCATACTTACACTACCACTAACTTGTTTTTCCCTTTTAGACTTTATTTATGGTCTTCCCTCCATGGGAGAGGAGTAATTAGCTGTAGTTCTGGCATTCTTACCATCCTCACCACTCGCCACCCTCACCCCTGCCCACCCACTCCAGCCCACACATACCTCAAGCTCCCCACCTCACAGCAGAATTCACTATTCAAAATGGGCCATCTAGTCAATCAGGATCACTTTCCCTCTTGTATAACTTTTGAATTTTCCAGGAGTTAATACTTGGGCTATTATTTGCTTATTGACCACTAAACCATTCTCAGACTCTTCCCCAGTTGTTTAAATTCAAACACAATCAAGTATCCTATCAATTTCACCTTCTGGTGGCATTATTGCCATACCCTTCTAATCTGCTCCAATCCAGGCGGGCTGCTCTCAGACAACTCTGAGCCACCCTCCTGGGATCTCCCTTCACCATCATCTGAATTCCTTCCCCACTTTGGAATTTTATACCCTCTTAGTCTGGTTTATTTTGTCTTTCTTGGTTTAGTAACATTCCCAGGGAAACATACATCCACAAAAAATTATTTGAGATCTTGCATATTCATCAGTGTTTTTTTTCTACCCTTCCTGATTTGTGATAGTTTGGTTGGGTATTGAATTTTAGATGGGAAATCCTTTTCCCTCAGAATTTTGAAGACACTTCCTCCTTCTCTCTCTCTCTCTCCCTCTCTCTCTGGAAGTTTTTAGGATCTTTTTCTTTACAGAACTCAATTTTTTTTAAATAGTTAGCTTTGGTAATATTATGCCTCTAATTTTCTCATATTTTATGCCTCTTAAATTTCATTTTTGTCCTCTTTTCTGGGAGATTTCCTCAACTTTATCTTACAAAATATCCACAGAGATTTTAATGTCTGCTCTCATAATTTTGATTTCAAAGTGCTCTTTTTTGTTTTGTTTTGTTTTCCTGAATGTTTCTTTAAGAAGCATCTTGTAATTGGTTCATGGGTATCATCTCTTTCAAAAGATATTAGTGATATGTTTTTGTGAAATTTTCTCAGGTGGCATGAACTGTTTCCTGCAAGTTGCTTTCTTTCTGTTTGATTATCAATTTCCTATCTCATGTTAGTCTTCCTCTAATGTTTGATGACCCCTTGTTGGCTGCCCATATTGAAAAGGGGACCCTGGGAAGCTAAATGGCAGCTTTGAACCAATGAGTGGGGCCTGTTAACTGTAGGTTCCACAGAATTTATATGGCTGGGCTGCCAAATTGGGGAACCCCATGTGTCAGTTTCTTAGGACTTTTCTCTTAGACTGCACAGGCTTCCCAGGAAAGAATCTTCAGATTCCAGCATTGTCTTCAGCCAAATTTCCATAGATGTGTATTCAGTCTGGGCTGTCTATTCCATTCTATTGCTCAGTCATTTATCTCTGTTTGAACACCTCACTGTCTTCATTCCTGTAGCTGGATGCCACTTCATGATCTATGATAAACCAGGTACCTCCGTCATGTTCTCTTTCTCGAGGGCATTAAAATTTTATAGCTATTGTGAAATTGTTCACTATAACATTTCCTTCCATACACCGAGTGTCCTAAATCTTTTTAACTCTGCCAGTCTGATAGATGCATAACAATGGCACAATCTTTCCTTTAATTTGCATTGCTTCCTTATAAGGGAGGTTTAGCATCCTATATGTATGGGGACTGTTAGCTTTTCCCCTTTTACGGATTGCTTACGACTGCTTTTTGCTTTTTCTCTCTTTGGTTGTTTGTCTTATTGATTTTTAGTGTTCTTGAATTTTGGGGCTTTATCAATTCAGACTTTTTTTAGCCAATTAGGATCTCTCATCCCACCCCCCTTCCCCCACTTATACTGGAGTCAAATCTAGGTCAACAAAAGGAACATGGTTTACATATTATCACATGATTGGAAAGAGTGCTCTGGTCCTTGGTTCACACAGCCACCCCTTATTTCTGTTTCTATTGGTGTCTGGCCATCAGTCCATGCAGGTCACTCTGAGCCCTCTAGGTCTTATCTGCAAAGCCCCTGCCGTCCACCAGCCCTCCCATAGCTTACCCAGGCCATTCTTGGTTGCTTCTGGAGTCACACTGAGCTCTGAGCCTGAGTTTGGGAGAGCAGATATAAATAGCTTTGCAGGGCCCACATAAGTCATTTAAGAATGTTGAATAAAGCATAGACTTGATATGCCTCGATCTCCCAGGACTTTGATTTCTGATGCTCAAAAACCCAAAACTCAAATGTTTTTAACTATTATATCTGTCCTTAGTTCCAAAACTCTCCCATAGTGTTCCTTTCTTTCTGTTTATGCCAACTTCTGAATGCAGAGAAGATGGGGTCAAAAGAACCAGCAACAGGGCTGTGGCCATGTCTCAGAGCATGCACTCCCTCTTTCCCAGTGCTGTGGGTCCTCTGACCATTCTGAAATTAATTTAAGGTATTAATATGAGTTTGAGCTTTTCTAGCCAAGAACTGGAAAAAAATTCACCAGTGAGATGATTTAATCCTGGTTTTTTAAATTTTTGAATGATGATTATGGAGAAAGAGGGCATTTGTTGAAACAATCTCAATTTGTTCCATTACAGTGGGTCTGTTGGAATTGTTCTTTATTCCTGACGCTATTAATTCTGGGGTCCTTGTGTCCCAGTAATGCCTCCCAACAGTGACTCAAGCACCCCTGGTAAAAGCCCCTGCTGTCCCTTACTCACCACTATCACTCACATGCCATCTTCCCTACCACACTGCCCTGGAAGCTGACTTCTGCCCCCACCACTGTCCTGATGCTGTTCTCACCCATGTCAGGTGGCCAACAAGATTGGCCACATTGTAGGCCTGCTCTGTCCCACATAGCCAACTTTGTGGGCAGTTCACTGCTCCTTGATCTGTTGTCTCCACCTTGGATCTGGGTGCACCTTCCCAGTTTCCTCTGCATTAGTGGCCCTGAAAGATACTTTTTCTCTATCTTTCCATTAGAGGTTAGCAGTAGACTTTAGGGTTCTGTCAGAGGTGTTCTCTATTCCTCCATTCTCTCATGCTGATCCTGTCAGCCCCCATGGTGGTGATGACCAACTCTGTGTAGAAGACTCAAATCCAGCTCCAGCAGAGCCCTCCACTGAGCCCCAGACTCACATCTCCACTTGGAAAACAAACACCTCATCATCATAGGTCCAATACTGAACACATTTTTGTCATCCAAACTTGCATCTTGAGCTGTACCTTGGGTAAACAGTTTCATGCCCTCTCTGTTGGGGGAAGGCAAATGGCAGCAGGGGTGTGCTTAACAGATAGGAGAGTGCCCTGCAGACAAACAGGGTCAGTTGGGACCCCAGACGCCCCCTTTCATCCAACCTGCCTTCAGGGCATCCCTGGGCTCCTGCTGCCTTTGCTTAACTCTTCACATCTCCCCAGATGGCTGCAGCTCTCCCCAGCCTTTCCGCCTCTAGGCACACTCCCTTCCCGCCTCTAGGCACACTCCCTTCCCTTCTATGTCCTTCACTTTCCAAAGTCCAAACATGATGACTTGTTCCCTTCCTTGAAACCTTTCAATAGCTCTCCTTTGATCTTAGGATAAACTAAAACTTGACTTAGCTTAAAGGGGTCCTTATGAGCTTCTCCCTCCTGCTGTGCTATCCTACAGCTAGTCCAGACTTCTTTTAGTTCTGGAAGCCTGACTCCAGTCTCCACCCCCCTGGGAATCCTCTCCCTCCCCACTCTGCCTTGGCTTTGCTAAATCCTGCTCATTCTTGAGGTCCTGACTTACAGCATTTTGTTAACTCCTCCCGCCCCCAAGTACATGCTCAGATGACACTAATCTAAGCACTTGCTTGTAGTAACCAAGTCTTTGTAACACCCCAGGGGTTGGTGTATCATATCAATTCATGAAAAAGGAAATTGAGGCCCATCACAGGTAAGTTAAGATGAAATTCCATGGGGCACCTGGCTGGCTCAGTTGGCAGAGTGTGCAACTCTTGATCCTCAGAGTTGTGAATTCGAGCCCCATGTTGGGTGTAGAGATTACTTAAAAATAAAAATCTTAAAAAAAAAAGGTAAAATTCCAGGCACTCTGGATTCAAAACCATCTTCCTTGTTATATCCTAACTCCTTTACCTTCCAACTTATCACCTATCAATGACATTACATTTTTGTTTTGTTTTGTTTTATTGGTCTTTTTTATTGAAGTTTAAGCTTGGTGAGGGCAGGTACTGTCACTTTGATTCAAATTTAATCTAGTGAATTTAAATTGAATCTAGAGACAGTTTACCCACCAGTAAAATGGGAATGACAATTACCTCTCTGGACAGGTGGTGGGGAGGGCCAAATGAAATGACCAGTGGAAAGTGCTATGCATAACAGGTCCTTGGCAGAGGGGCTCTCCACCTCATATCCTCCCCGCATTCTCCTGGCCCCAAAGCTTCCTGGAAAAGCTTTGATTTCTTCTTCCCACTTTCTGCCTCTCTGTTTTGCCTCAGATGTGCATTCTTGGGAGCTAGACTGCTCTGGTATGGAAAGTGAAGGCACCATGAAAGCAGGTGGCCCTGTGAAGCCATGCCATCCCTTGAAACCCTTTGCTTATGTGAAACCTATCAGATATGAGACCCCAGCATTCACAGCTCATCATGGAGAGAGAAGCCAAGGCCACCGTGGGAGAAGAAGTCAGCAGGCAGTAAGAAGCCACCTTAGGGAGACAGACCTTCGCAGAGACACTGGCCTCCAGGTGAGGCCAAGACGCATGTTGAGACCAGGTCTTCGTGTGGATCCGGACCATGGTGAAGAGCCAAGCCACCATGTGGAGCCAGAAGCCAGGCGGACCTCATCCTTCCCTCTTACAGAAACAGCGATAGTGCACAGAGATGGGCTGCAAGGCCCCCACCTCCACACAATCCAGCCTGGGGCAGGACTGCGGGAGCTACCCAATGCCTCTGGGTATTGGGTTCTCATGAATTCCCCAACTTCATCCATCTATCCCTGCTTAGGGTTCAGACCCTTGGAGGGGTCAACTTTGCTCTTCACACAGACCCCTTCTGGTACCTTTGTGTACGGGGTCCCAGAATTTTTCACCCACATTGCACACTGACCTCCATCACTTGCCACCAGCCCCTGTTCTGACCTGAGTGTTTCTCCCAGCCCGACCCCAAGTCCCCATTTCTGTCCCCACTCACTCGTCTTATTCCTAACCTTTATCTCATGTTGTCCAGACTGAGACTGCAAGTCTCCTCCCAGGATCCTGGCAGGGTCACATGTACACTGCCCATGCCCCTCTGTTGTCTCTTCCTTTTGTTTTATCAAAGATGTACATGCATTTTATCCCTCAATACTTACTGAAATAAATCCGCAATCTCCTCTTGTCCTCCTCTGTCTCAGTGTATTCAGGCTGCTATAATAAATAGCACGGTCTGGGTGGTTTATAAACCTCAGACATTTGTATCTCACAGTTCTGGAGGCTGAAAGTCCCAGATCACCAGCAGATTCTTTGTGAGAAACCCCTTTCTAGTTTATAGATAGCTGTCTTGTGTCCTCACATGGCTGGTGGGGTGAGGGAGCTATCTGGGATCCCTTTTATAAGGACACTAATCCCATTTATGAGAGCTCCTTCTCCTAATACCATCATACTGGGAGTTAGGATTTCAACATATGGATTTTGGGAAGACACATTCAGTCTATTGTATGCCCCCACAACTACCATTTTTCCAATCCTGAGATGTATAACCATGAAATGTTTTAGGAAAACGAACACAGTGAAGGAGCAAAAAAGGAGAAGTCACATCCAAGGAAATTAGAACCAATAGAACATTCAGAAAAAGGCTTAAAGAATATAATTAATATCCTCAGAGAGATATGGGATGATAGGCTATCTCTGACATAATAGTATGCACTTCACATAAAAAGCCAATTAGAAATGCTTGAGATGAAGCATAAGGTTGTTGGAATACAAAATTATGTGATTTGAATTGCAGAAGGGACAGGACTGAGGTACAAATCAGTAAACTAGTTGTTTGGGCAGACAAGAGCCTCCAGAATGTGGCAAAAGGAAGGTGTAAGGTTTGAAAGTATTTCACACCAACAGTAGATCCCAAAGTTGGGATGTCTAGCACAGGAGTTCTATCAAGAGGCACAGGACACTTAGACAATAATAATATATGAAGTTTGGCTGATTTCCCCACACTGAAGAAAAACATGAATCCTGAGCAGGATGCAACAATCACATACACCTGGATGAAGTATGGTGCAGAGAAAGTTCCAAAAATCACCTGCGAGATGAGACCTACAAGGAAAACAGAGTTAGTCTGACATCAGACTTTCCTTGGCAGCTCCATTAAATCTAAGAAAACAATGGGGTGACATCCTCAAAGCTTGGAGAGTAAATAACTCTGAGTCTAGGGTTCTATAACCAGTCAGAGATGCTCTTGAGTTCAGGACCAGGTGGTGCATAGACAGGAGGTTCTGGAACTCCTGCAGCCAATTCACCAGCTCAGGAGAGTGAAGGGATGGGAGGAGGGTAGAGCAATGAGAAACGAGCCTGAACACTAATCAAACTGGACCTGAAGCATGAGCTTCCTCTGAATTCTATTGTCCACAAGCTAATAAAGCCAGTTTGAGTTGAGTTTTCTGTTACCTGCAGTGAAAGCACAGATGTTTCTCAGCCAGGATTAAAAAAAAAAAACAAAACTCAGGAGGAATATGTGGAATGCAAGAAGGAACAGTAAGCAAGGAAAATGGTAAATTGTATTATTAAGTTTAAATAGGTATGATTCTGGAAGAAAGATGAATAACGTGGAATTAAAATTCCAGAAAACATTAGCATAGAAATGTGGGGAGTGGGGAAGTTCAGGAGGAGCTAAAAATTACTAAAATTCTTGTGTAGTTTCTGGAGATTTTACAGATGCTGAATATGAAGGAACAATGGAACTCAAAACAATTTAAAGTATGTGAACCCATTGGTAAGCACTAAATGAACTGAACTAGAATGCAAAATTTCAAACAGATTGAGGAAAAAATAGATCAAAGAAAATTTGGTGAATCAAACAAAAGGCATAGGGGGTTGATAGAAACAAGGAGAAAGCATGACACATTTCAAATGTTAAATAAGAAATAAGTAACTTGATGGCAGCCTCCTGTGTGTTCCTGGCTTCAGTGGGAATATTTTAAATGTTTTATCATTAAGCAGGGCATTTCCTGTAGGTTTCTCATAGATAGGCTTGATCAAGTTGAGATTGTTCCCATCCTCTCAGAGTTTGATAAAAGGTTTATTATGAATTGGATTTGGTATTTTATTAAGTAGGCTTTGACTGATTGATTTTAAGACTCATTTGTAAGAGAAAATGTCCAAGAAAAATGAAGAAAATTTTTCCCATGAGCGATTTTTTCTTGTGTACTCAACCATCCTCTTAAACCCTTCTCTTTGGCTTTTATTGTAGTATGATTCTTTTATCAAAATTTCAGTTTTCATCTTACCAATATAAGAAGAGTTTACCATCACTGGAAAAAGAAACACACAAAAAGACAAAGAAAAAATGTCTTCTCTTCTTCTTTCCTATTGTTCTTTTCCCACAATCATACAAGCCTACACAAACATAAGTGTACATTAAAAGGCTTTATTTTGGTTTGACTTTAAAAAATGGGATGTACTATCCACCCAGGTTCGCAAGGAAGTGACTAAAGGGTCCAGGCAGGTAACACAGGTGTGGTGGGGGCTGGGGGCCGGCACCTCATTGGAGTCCCTTCTCCACCTGAAGTGGGCAGAGGTGCCTTGGTATAGAACCACTGCACAGACCACCACGAGCACGTCTGTGGTGGGATCTGCTTCGTGCCTTGCCATTGGGTTGTCTCCTATGTGCCAGCTTGCCAGCTTTCACCCTGGCATAGCTTCTGGTCAACCCATGTGTCACTATCTCCCCAGTAGCTGGGTATCTTTCCAAAAAATGCACAAACTTGAGGTTACACAGCGACCCACCACTGATGGATCCCATTCCAGGGTGTTTCTACCACTGAGATGCTTAGCTGACCATTTGCACATGCAATCTTAAGGACCTGTTCTTCTGATCTTATAAAATAAATTCTCAAAGTGGGATTCCTATGTCAAACGGCCATATTTTATTTTAGTAGATATTAAGAAATTACATTCAAATTAGGTTGTATCAATGTCACTTCCCACCAGCAGTATATGAGGGCACCAATTTCCCCACAGTCTTCCCAGCAATAAATGTCAGCACTCTACAATTTTTGCTAATCTCTTGAATAAAAATATGTCATTATTGTTCTAATTTGAATTGTCAGGACTACCAGTAAGGTTTAGTACCTTTTTATGCATTTATTGGCCATTTTTATTTCTTTCTCTGTTAAAAACCAATATATGGCCTTTGTATAATTTTCTATTGGGTTTTAAATCTTTTTCTTATCAATTCATAGGAATTTCTTATATGTTAGAAATAGTGATATTTTTCGTGTGTCCTACAGATATTTTTCCCATTCCAACATTCCTCTTCTTACTTGCTGAGGCTATCTTGTGTCTGCCTGTGTCCAGCCTCAGCCCCACAGCCCACCTGTCTCTGTGTCCCAGCCCCCAAGCTTCTCCTCAGTTCCTGCAATGGGTTCTGCTCACCACCTTCTCCCCCTGCCCCAAGAGTTTCATCGGTTGCAGTAGGTGGCCCCTTTGCACAATGTGGAAATTGTTTTCTTGGTCATTTCAAGAACACCCCCAGTTGCTATGCTTTTATTAATGAGATGTTTATCCTAAAACTTGAAGACCACTTGTCTCTATATATTAAATACATATTTAATATATATTATATTAAAATCTATTTGCTGCTATCACCAGGGTATATGCGTCTTTGCACCTTCATGTTAAACAAGGAATCAAAAAGCCTGTTCTGCACCTGAAAGTCATCTGATAAAAAGGACATCTTTCAGGACCTGGAAGTTCACTTGTCAAAATGGTATCAGTGCTGTAAGGGACACTGGGACACCCTGGCCGTCTGGACCTCCAGCTCTGGGATCTCTCTCCTGCCTATTCATGTCACTGAGCCACCTGATCTTCGTCCAGATGGTTCAAGTCTGCACAGAAGAAACATGGACGCCCCTCTGCCCTCAGGCAGGTGGGAAACCCCACTCACATTCAACTTCCATCCCCTTGCCAAGATGTCACTGAGCCCATTTTCCCTCCACTCTCTACTCAGAGATGGCAGGAATGTTAGCTCATGACTCACCTTTCCTGTTTTTCTCGGATATGTCCTTTCCCTCCCACCTCCACCCACCGCTGGCCACTGGGGGGCAAGTCTCACCCAAACGCGACCCTCCTGCTGCCCTCACCACCTCTCCCCCTCCTCCTCCAGCTCACAGGATCTCATCTTGCCTGGCAGGGTGGGGACAGTAGTCCAGAATGCTCAAAGATGCTTTGATGCCTCTTCTTTGTAGCAAAACTTTCTCCCCAGAATGCTTTGGGGTTCTGGATTTTGATAATCAAAAATTAGTATTTTAGGACTCAATATTATTCTCAGCTATGGATCTCAAGAGTATATTTTGAAAGTTAACAAAAAAAAATGCACAGCAGGAAAGAATTTCTGTAGTGTGGATGCCCCAAAAGTGAAATTTCTGGTAGTGATAAAAGTGCATCTACAGCTTTTCTAAGTACATCCAGGCTATCCTTCTAGATGGGTGTGCCCATTGACCACCCCACCAGCAGCAAGTAACACATTCCCCGTGGCCTTCACAACACTTGGTGTTATCAGTCTTTTTCCATTAGATTATTTATTTTGCATTTCCCTAGTTACTAATGATGTGTCATCTCTTCAAATGATTATTTCCTTTCCTGTTCCTTCTTGAATTCTCACTCTCGTTCCTTACCCAAAATACCACCATCTCTAAATGGCAATAATAATTTTACTTTTCTCAGAAGGTACTGTTATTTAGATGAGGCCATACCTTATATGTGTATATACATTGTATCAAGGTTTTATTTGCATTATTTATATGTTCTATATCCTTAACTCATTTCTTATTTCTTAATTTATTTTTTTAATCTATCATTACTGAGAGGTGTACACTATATTTTCCCACTATGACTAGGGATTTGTTCAT